CTACTAAAACAACTTTCTTCACATTAGTTATCAAAGGCCTATTTTTGTGAACTTAACAATCTCTGTCTACTTTTGAACAACTTCTAACCTCTAAACTCTCTTCTGAAGTACTTTGTGGCATGTTGATATTTTCTTGTCTTTTGGATTATAAGCTACCACGCTGGTTTCCTCTTGCCTCTCTCAACATTTCCTTCTGTTCCTGGGAGGGGTTCCCTTTCTCCCAGCTGCTTTTTCAGTTCTTAGTATTTCTCAGGTTCATCCCTGCTTTTTTCCCCACTTCCAAAGCCTCTCTCACATGCTACGCTACCTTAACTTACATCTTTATCATCTCTGACTTGGGCTATTGCAACAGTTTAAATGGCATCCTGGTTCCTCCTTTCTCCATATCTCAGGTTATCCTTCATGGTGCTACCCAAATAATTATTTTTTAAGTGGCAAACATTTGTTAAAACTGCTGCCTATAAGAAAAAGCCCGAAAATCTTAGTATACCACACCAGGCCTTCAATCTCCTTTCCTCTTGTTCTACCTACTCACCAGTAACTCCAACCATGTGGAAACGCTGCTCACATTACATGCTTTTCCACAAATCCCTGCCTCTCTACGGCTCCTCTCCCCTGAATGCTCTTTTTCCCTCTTCTCAGCTATTTCCTGACCCAGTTCCTTTCTTAAGCACTTATCACACTGCATTTTAAATATTTTCATATATCTATTCCTCCAGGAAAATACTAGCATCTCATGTATACTTCAATGCCCTTTTCTTCTCTATAAACCTATGATCTACTATCAAAACACTGTTCAACAAATATTCACAGACTGAACTGTATGCAATCAATAAACACTGAAATACTTTTTTTTTTAAGTGCAGTTTTTTTTTGGGGGGGGGTGGAACTGACTGAAAGGAAAAAAGCTCAAATGACACACTTAATCTTAACTCTCAAGGTAAAGAACCAAGACACCGAAGGACAACAGTGCCGAATACTCAGCATCCGAATTATTCCGTAATTTCAAAAACTGTACGGCTATGGCAGTGATATACATAATATAAATGACCTTATCACTGTTCTCTCTAAAATTTTTCAACGGCTTTTTAAAAACGAAGCCACTACCTTCATCCAGCCCACAAGCGCTTCCATCTGTCTCACCTCACACTACTCTGTCTTTCAGAGCTTTTCCAGTTTGCTTTTTGCATAGGCAGATTTGCCAGCAATATCCTTCTGCGTATCCTATTAACCACACACCTGTCAGCTCTTATTCTTTGGCTATCAGCCTAAGGATTAAGCTGTCTACATTACTTGGTGGCTGAGGACAAGGCTGTTGTATCACATTACATTGGGAAAGCAGTACGGTAGGGTTGCTATCATGGATTACGGATTCAGGATGGGACCTTGGACATACTTATTTAACTTCATCATATCTGGACTTCCGCATCTGCAAAACAGAGGCAAGTGGTAGCTATCTCATAAGGTTACTGAAACAGTTCAAGGGAGTAATTTATGTAGAACTGTGCTGACCCCTAGTCCCCTCTTATAAGAGTCCAATATATGTCAGTTATAGCATTTACTTAGCTGTCAGTGCCCATCTCCTCCAGCCCCTCAACACTGCATTATGTCGAGACAAGCTGCCCGGACTGGGCTCGAACTTGGAATCCTCCTGCCTCAGACTCCCACAGTGGAGGGATTACAGGCATGAGCCACCACGCTTGGTTCTTAAATCCTCAGACTCAGCATTGGGTTTTGAACATTTCGAGCCCCGGATATATTTTCTTAAAACATAAAAATAAACTGGAAAAAACCTTGGATCCAACTTTTGCCTCATTAGCTGGACAATCTCAGAAAACTCACCCACCCTACCGAGGCCCCGTTTACCCTACTGTAAAGTGTAACGCGCACCCGTGAGAGACTTTGTGTCTAGCAATGCGATCCGTCTACAGAAGCACAAAGCACGTCTTAAAACGCTGTACACACGACGGCTGTTTACTGTAGAAGCGGAGCTCGCGTCCTCCCTTCCCTACGGCACGTCTCGTCCTAGCCCCCCTCTTCCCAGTCCACACCCTCACTGCGCCCTTGGCCCTTGGTCCCTAGAGATTGCAACCGTGGGAGCCCCGGCCCCGCGCGGCTCCCTCACCGCGACCCGCGCCCTCCTTCCTTCCTCGCCCGGACGGACGCACTTCCGGCGGATGTGGGGGGGCGGCCCCCGGAAACGGAAGTGAGCGGCAGGGCCGGCTGACGGTAACCGGGCTCCGAGGCTGTTCACAGAGCGGGCTGAAGATGGTGAGTGACCCCCCGGGCGGCCCGGGGTGCAGGCGGGCTTGGCGCGATGGCCCGGCAGACAGGCTGCAGCCTCCCGGCTGTCCTCGGCTGGCGGCTGCGGCGTGGGAACGAGGCCAGCTTAGCGTCCCACGATCTGTCGAGTCACGGGGTTGGCGTGGATCGTGGCTCCTCCTGGGCCTGGCCCGAGCTCCGGCGCCGAGAGCAGCGCGCCGGCCTCCCGCTGTTGGTGCTCCTCTTCGGGCGGCGTGCGTGCGCCTCCTCCAGGACCCTCGGCGGGCCCTTGCCTCTTGCCCGTAGCTGGCACGCAGCTGACCAGGGCAACAGAAAGCTCCAAGTCGTGTGCGATGGCGCCGCCGACTCTCGTCTCCCACAAGCCCCCTCCCGCTTCCCAGTCCCCTGTCCCTTGAACTGCTTGGTAACCGGCCCACAACTGTAGTCACTTTTACGTAATTTAGCCTTCCTTTGCATTTCCCCAGAGTTGGTAGTAGGCCCTGTGTTGAGGGGGAAGACAGTCAGTGGTTACACCTCCTTAGTCAGCATCGTTACTGCATTTCTGCTCTTCGCCTTTTCACCTCTCCTGCCTGCCCCCTCCCCCATCTCTGCTTTGCCTTTTGCTTAAAAGTTGTGATATTTGAGAAGATGCCCGCATCTCCATTACCACTGACTGGTGTCCACGCTGCTGTAGGCCCCCTGGCCAAGTCTAGAAAGTTTCTTTGGGAAATTACTGCTGATCGTTGTAAAGAAGTTTGGTAAAGATCCTCAAGTGTTACTAATATTCCATGTTTGTTCTCGTCTATTACTTTATTAGAATCCTGAAGTACTGATTCTGGTATTTTACAGAAAGAAATTGAAAGATGGTAGTAGTAGAACCCAGAGATCAGAATGCCTGCTTTCCTGGTGCATAGAAGAAAGTATTTTTGTCCCATTACAGTAAAGGAGCCTGGCAGGAGGAGGATGCTCATGTAGGATAATTTAGATGGTAATATTTGGAACGTTAACAATCATACAACTCCCGCCCTGGAAGGAGTTCAACTACCTGGTGCAGATGAGTGAAGAGGGCCAGAACGATTTGTACTTTGCTGGCAGTCACAAAGCTGGTTGGTGGTAGTCCACACTAGATTCCAGATTCTTTTCAGTAAGTTCCTGTATGTACGGAAATGGAAACCTGGTGTGCAGGTTCCTGAGTTCCAGACTAGGGTCCCTGGACTTTGTCTTCAGGCATTGATGAACCAATGAAAGGGTTGTGTGTTTTGTTTTCTTTTGTTTTTAGCAGCTTTGGTAGGGAAGGTTGTGTGTTCTAGGAAAATCCTGATATACAGTATTGGAAAATGAGTTAGTCTAGAGCAGCAAGATCCAGTAGAATGCTGTGAGAGCCAGGTCGAGGGTGGGAGAGTGAAGAAACCAGGGACATGATAAAGTACCTGATCAAATAAAACATTCAGATGGATTAAGACATTAGTTGAAAGTTGGTTTCTCAGAATAGTTTCTCTTAGAATAGTGTAAGATTAGATACCAAACCACCTGGCTATTCTACGTTTTTCTGCAGAATTACAGGAGTATTGTAGCTGAGTAAGTCATGGTTTAAAGTCAGCATTTTTATTTGCTTGTTAATGTATTTCCATTAGATTAAGCCCTGGGAGGTAGACCTGTATCCCCAGCACCAAGCAGGATACCTGACACATAATAGGTACTAATATGAATTTGGTGATTGGAAGTACAGATAGATAATACAGTTTGGTAGGATAACAGTATATCTGTTCCAGATGCACTTAGAGCTGGACATGGTGGCACGTGTCTATAATTTCAGCCCTTGGGAGGCTGAGACTGAAGGATCCCTGTGAGTTCAAGTCCTGCCTGGGCTACATAAGCAAGTTCAAGGCCAGGCTGCACAATGAGACTTTGCCTCAAAAAAAAAAAAAAAAAGCAACCAAATGCTCTTTAATTTTTTTTTACACTGTCCTAATTAGATACATTTTTTTTCAGCAATGTCATTCTCATAGAAACTAATCTTCGTGAAATTTTTTTTAGCTTCTGTGACTTTTGTGTTCTAGTTTTTCTGTCTCCTTACTCCCATTTCTTTGTTCTTCTTTCTTGTTCTTAAAGAATGGTATTTCTCAGGATTCTGTCCTCAAAATGTTTTCATTCTCTGTGAAACATTGCAGCTTAAAGGAGGGATCTTTAAAAAATAAAATGAGGGATCTTTTTAGTGAAAACAAATTGCATCAGTGATATCATAACCCTTCAGAAGCTATCAAATTTAGAATAAAAATTAAATTTCTTTCTATGTAAGATTTTCATTTTTTAATTTTGTCAGTCTTTTGTCTCACTCATATGTATATTTAGCCAGTGAAAACTGCTTGTAGCTTGTTCATTTATATTTTCATACCTTTATCCTTGTTATTTCCTATTTCCTTTTTTATTCAAGGTCCTTCTGCCCCTAAATTTGGAACTATTCTTTTCAGTTTATAAGTTCATCATAATGCTTAAGGCATATTCTAATGGTCTAGGTTGTGGACTCTTTGAAGGCAATAGTCTTTTCTGTCCCACTTAAGTAATGCTTTTTACATAGGTATTCTTTATGTATGTGTGTTAAATTCTTTAATATTTAATAGTGGTTTTTTTTTATTTGCATTATAGAATGCCAGAGGACTTGGATCTCAGCTAAAGGACAGTATTCCAGTTACTGAACTTTCAGCAAGTGGGCCTTTTGATCATCATGATCTTCTTCGGAAAGGGTACATGGTGGAGTTATGAGTTTGTCTTTGTTGTAATAAAATATTTCTGTGAATTATTTTTTATTTTTCACATAATTCTTTATAAATATTTTGATAGGCTATAAGTGTATATTTAATTTGGGAAGTACTACCCTTGACAGGGTAAAAAGGCAAGAAGCCCAGATGTTTCCAGTGATGGAGGAAAGATCTCAGCAAGGTAGTACGTTCTGTGAATAGGTCATCCTTCCAGTAGGTGACACCCAGTAGCTTGATTAGGTAGGATTCTTTCTGCTACCCATAATGTAGAGGGCTATTTGTCTCCTTCTTAACTACTGAAATAATTCACTTGTCTTTGGGGGACACTAGAACATAGCAGGTAAGAGGATGGACTCTGGACTCAGGCTGCCTGGATTTGGATCCTCACTCTGCTATTTAGTAGCTCTCTCCCTCTAGGCAAGTTACTCGGTTGCTCTGCCTCTTGTTTCTTTTTGTTTTCTTTCGAGCTACATAGTAAAATGCCCGAGAAGAACTGTATTCAAATACTACTACTTGGAGAATGCTCTGTACAGAGAGAATATGCAATAAATGGCTGCTGCAGGTTTCTAAGAATTCTCTCAGCTCTCAGATTCTCATTTAATATGTAGCATGATAAAGACCAGTAATCTGGTTCTAGCTGTACATCACTTAACAATACTTAGTATGTGTTGGTAAATGCTACATAGAGGTCCAACATGTTTATGAAAGACATATTAAATATTGAATATATATTAGACCTAAAGAAAGAGGCTTAGATACTTTGTATAGTGCAAGAAGCATCTCATTAGACTAATAGTAATAAACACATTACTGAATTCTTTCTAGCCAGATGTAGTGGTACACGCCTGTAATCCTAGCACTTGGAGGCTGAGACAGCAGAATTGCTGTGAGCTTGAGGCCAGCCTAGGCTACATAATAAGTTGAAGGACAGCTAGAACTACATCATGAGACCCTGTCTCAAAAAAAAAATTATTTCTAGATGTAGAATATCATTTAGGACAGATTTTAGAGGGTTTCCTTTAGTGATTGAAGTCTTGGCCACTAATAGCTATAATAAGTACATTTTAAAGCAATTATGATATAGAATATTTGACTATTTTGTTTTGTTATGCAGTTCTATGACTTTTAACAGATCTCAATTTCTGTAACTATTACCATAAATCAAAATACAAATTATTTTACCTCTTCCCTCCAAAACAACTCCCCCATGCCTTACTACTATAATCCTAATTTGGCGAGGGCTTGCTGGGAATTGAACCCCAGTGCCTTGTGCATGCTAATAAGCATGTGTTCTACCACTGAGCTACATTCCCAGCTCGTTTGCTGTATTACTCTACTAGTATACTCTTGGTAGATGCATTATTGAGTTACAGGTATTGAAGTGATGTGTAATCTCCCGTTTAAATTTTTTTCTTCTAGTTTTTCTTGTGTGAAAAATGAACTGTTACCAAGTCATGCTCTTGAATTATCAGAAAAAAATGTAAGTTTGTTACTTGTGTCTTTATTTTTGCCCCCCATAAGAAAATACTTTGAAGGAAGTTATTGTGGTATCATTTTATAAAACCGGTTCTGATGCTGAGGATTCAACCATAAGCCCTTATTCAGTCATAATTTTATGATAGGATTTTAAATTATCACTATATCATTTTACTTAAGCTCCCTTTCTGTACATCCTATTCTGTGTTTTTTTAGTTAATGGAATCCTTTAAAGGTTCATCTGTCTTTCTATTCTCATAATTTCTTCATTTGATAAACCTGTTTTTTCCTGCTATAAAAATAGTTCTTGACATCTAAGTGTCAATAATGGATTTGGATGACCTAGCTTTGACCTCTTTGTCAAGCCTTGGATTTTCAAGGTTCTGAGGGATGTATCCACTCAGCACAGTAGGTACATAGAGTATTACATAAGGCCCATTCTCAAATATAAAACTTGAATGAGAAAATAAACAGTAGGTAAGGGGCTTCATAAAATGCTAAAGAGGACTAGGGATGCACCAGCCATTCATCAGTTCTTTTAAATCTTTTTTCCTTCCTAGAAGCAATCTTGGTATAAGAAAGAATAGAGCAAATAATAGAATTATAGAATGAAAGTTCAAATAAGATGAAACAGTAAGTTACTTAAGTACATTCAGGTTTTATGCCCAGAAGTTGACAACTCAAAATAGCTTTAAAAGCTTATGAATATGATTATGAAACCACAGTTGATCACCTTTGAGAAATAATGAGGGACATAAATATTGTCCTTAGATTGAAGATAGATATTTTAGTTTTCTGAAAGAAATTAATGAAAAAGTGGTTTGAGCTTAAATTGGTCTCTGACCTTATTCTTGCATGAACTGTTAAATATTCTTGCATGACCGTGAGCATTTAGTAAAGTAAGCAGCAACCACCAGCAACTGAATGAGCTCATAACAATTTAATCTTTATTTTCTCTTCCATTAAATTGCCAGTTGGGTCAATAAAGGAATCAAATTACCTAACAAGGGATATGCTTGAGGATAACATGGTGGATTGTAGAACAGAATGAATTGTTTGTAGCCGGTAACTACCAGATAGCAACAACTAAGCAGTTAACAATTCATGAGGGGTATTTTGATAGGGATCTTGACCTCTACCTTCGTCTTAGGTATGCTATAAATACTTACAGCTGTGTTTTATAGACTGAGAGTAATCATTTTATATATATATATATATGTGGTTTGGGGGGTATCTGGTAAGATGAGCTCATGAATACTTAAAGGGTATATGGAAAAAGACTAAGCCAAAACATTAAAAAAAAAATGTTTATAGAGATTAGTATGAAGTTTACATTTGAGATAAAAAAATGAATTATACACACATTAGGTCAGATAAACCTGACTTGCTACATAAAACTTGACAGTTTTAGTTGAATATGTACTAAGTATAAGCCACAAATTAGCCTCCAAAGAGAACAGTACATACAGTTTTGGCCTTTATTAATAATGCTCAAATCATGGCAGTTATACTCTGATACTTTCTTACGTATTAGCCTGGCCATTAGATTTGGAATACTGGTTCTTTTCTGGGCAATACATATTAAGAGAAATTTTGACAAATCTGCCTTGAGATGGGCCAAAAGGATAGAGTCTAACTTCCTAAATCTTCAGAGATTTGGATTATGGCAGGCAGGCTATTTTTAAAAAAAATTTGTGGTACTGAAATTATCTACCGTAATAAAGGCTTTCAGCATAGATTGTGTAGTTGAATTACAAAAGTATCCCACTTATTAGCTAAATAACCTTGGGTAAACTCAACTTAAATTTTAGTCTGGAGAATTAGTAATAGCTCACCCCTTGGTTTGTTTGTGGCATTGGGCAGCTCTCCTTGATTGGGAGTTTCCTTGGTGACAGTGATGAGAAATGACCCTTATCGTGTGCACTAGTGGTTCTTAGTTGGGGTGGGGTGGTATTTTTGCACCCCACACTTCAAACATCAGTTCTGAAAACATTTTTGGCTATCAAAAGTGACATGGCTAGAAGGGTGGCAGAGATTGTTAATATTGGCATCTATTGGGTAGAGGCCCCAGGTACTGCTCAGTGGGACAGGTCCCACAGTAAAGAGTTACCTAATCCAGTGTAACAGTATTGCCAGCAGTTGAGAAGCCGTGATCCATCTGTAGTGTCTTCCCAGCTAGATTCTGGGATAGGTTGTTTCTTCTGTTTTGTTAGATACATCACCATAATCTAACTTTGCACGTGTTTTCTAATATATATGTTGGTTAATAATTGTAGTTTTAATAATCACAAATTGGGTGTATTTATCACATCTATATGAATTGAATTTTTCTGCATAAAATTACATTTATCAAGGGGCTGGGGATTTAACTCAGCGGCACAGCGCCTGCCCGGCAAGTGTGAGGTCGTGAGTTTGATTCCCCGTACGGGAAAACAAACAAAACAAAACAAAATTCCATTTATCAAGAGGATAACTATTTAAAAGAAGCCCTTCACTTAAAACATCAGATCAGATGCCCATAGTAAAATGCCGATTTTTCTGAAGGACCACTTGTCAAAGGTTTGCTGGATCAAGCTAAAGTAATTAAAAACTACTTTGCTGACAACATACTTTTTTTATAACTTTATTTTTTTATTAGTACATATTTGTCATATATATTGATCATATTTCTCATAAGGAATTTGTACCTGTACATAATATATCTTATATCTTCTATTTTTTTCCCATTTCCCTCCCCTCCCTTGAATCCCACCCCCCATCCCTGTTTACAAAAGCTTTGGTTTCATTTACTCCCTTTCATTCTCTTTTTTTTTTCCTTTTTCCTTTCTTCTCTTCCCCCACCCCCTCTGTTGTTTCCCTTCCTATTTCAATATATTCTTCCTACTTGCTAAAATCTATCCTCAGTTATACTCCTTATTTGCCCTTTGGATTTCTCACACAAGAGAAACAATGCAATATTTAAACTTGTGTGTTGAATCTATTGTACTTAAGCTTACATTCTTGAGATGCATCTATTGTCCTACAGTGACTCAATTTATCCTTCTTTAGGGCAGAGTAGTACTCCACTGTGTATATATACCACATTTTCTTTATCCATTCATTTGTTGATGGGCATATGGGCTGTTTTCCAAACTTAGATGTTTTAAATTGTACTAGTATAAATGTGAAAATGCTCTATCACTGTGGTATGATGTTTTTCACTCTTCAGGAAGATACTAGAAGGGGAACAACTGGGTCAAATGGAACCTCTAATAGTAGTTTCTTGAGGGATCTCCATACTGGATTTTTCATAGTGGTTGTACCAGTTCACATTCCTGCTAGCAGTGAGGAAGGGTTACTTTTTCCACACAGCCTCGCCAGCATTTGTTATTGGTGATTTCTTCCCACCCACCCTTGGTACTCTATTTTATTGGTACACATTATATGTCCGTAATGGTAACATTCATCATAGGGAATTTGTACCTGTACAGGATATATCTTGCTGCTGCGTTTTTTTCCTACTCTCCCTTCAACCCCCTTCCCTTCTTTATTTACAAAAGCTTTATTTCTATTTTTATTTCTTATCCCTTCCTTTCCCCTTCCCTCTCCCTTGTTTCTTTTCTCATTTGAACATTTTCTTCACATTTCCCAATATCTATTATATATTTTGGGCTGATACCATACTTATACTTCATATATGTGGTCCCCAGTCATGTCCCAAATAGTCCTAATCTCTCCATAGATTTTCGATGAAATGATTTTTTGGATGACTGTTAGAAAAGAATCTTATTAAGAGAGTATGGTGTACTAAAAGATAATCACAAGTCATTTTCCTCATTATGGTTACCTGGACTTAAATCTTTATAGCATTCTGTTACTATATTGCCATCACAAAGAGCTATTTTGAGAAAATTTTGTTTTAGAATACAGTAAAAAAAAAAAAATAGAATACAGTCAAATTGATTTCATTTTGCCCAAGGAACTAATAAGGATTAGCATTTCTTAAAAATATTGTTAGTGCATCTGATTCTGAAAATATTACTCATTAATACCTAACACAAATTACATAGACTTTCTTCCAGACAATTTTCTCCCGAGTTAACACTAAAGAATGGAGTTTAAATATTGAAGTTTAATTAATATTATAATGGTTTGATTGCTGTATTTCATAATGAAATCCTTTGAAATACTTATTTTCATACTCAGATGTCCAGTCTTTATCAGTGCATGTGAGATTTCCTGATCTCAGATTACTTGCACCTTTTCTTTGCTCTAACCAGTTTTGTAGTACTTCTAATCAAAAACACTGAAAGATGCTTATGCCTTATTAAGTACCTCTGTAATATGAAAAGCATTTCTGAATTTATTAGTTTTACCTCTTTTTTTTGGAGACAGGGTCTCACTATGCAGTTCAGGCTGGCCTTAAGCTTGCTTTGTAGCCCAGACTGGTCTTGAACTTTCAACAATCTTCCTGCCTCAGCCTCCTAAGCGTTGGGATTACAGGCGTGCACCACCATGTCCAGCTAATTTATTAGATTTATAAATTCAAATTTTAGGTAATAATTTATACCGGTGAAGTATACTTGAAAGCTGGATAAAACATAGACATAAATGTTCTAAAATTTATCATAAGAAATAGAAGCGCTTTGTTTTTATATCAGTTATGGATATTACATTCTTTTGTCTAAATGTGGTGTTATGTATGTATCAATTCATTGTCTTTTGTAGTTCCAGCTCAACCAAGATAAAATGAATTTTTCCACACTGAGGAACATCCAGGGTCTCTTTGCTCCTCTAAAATTACAAATGGAATTCAAGGCAGCGCAGCAGGTGAGTTCAGGCATGTGTTCCTTATGTGTCCTGCGTGAGTTGGTATCAGGCTTAAAGACTTCTGTTTTCTGCTTTCCCAACAACTTTCAAGCCTTACTTTTTCTGTATCCTCAGTCTGTTTTACTTTCTACTCTTTAGGATAGGACCTTGATTCTTTCTTCAAAGAAGAGAAGAGAAGTCATTCAATGGAAAACTTTAAATTTTAGACTGTGTGTGAAAACTTGCCTGCATCTACTTTCATGTTTTTCTGGGTTCTGTTGAACTTGAAATCCCTATAGGAATATTGTCTTGGTTACTTTTCTTTTTTTTTTTTTTTTTATTTTAAAGAATAAAAGAAGGATAACATAATAATA